AGAGCACAATTGGTGACATGAGATACTCCTTCAGCTCATCAAAAGCCGCTCGGCATTCTTCGTCCCAGACGAATCCATTGACCTTTCGCAATACCTTGAAGAAAGGTAAAGCGCGCTCAGCTAACTTGGAGAGGAATCGGCTGAGGGCTGCCAACCGACCGGTCAATTGCTGGACTTCCCGAACGGTAGAAGGTGGTTGCATGTCCAGAATCGCTTTTACTTTGGCCGGGTTGGGCTCGATTCCTCTCTTTGTCATCATATAGCCGAGGAACTTGCTGGTTTGAACCGCAAATGTACACTTGCTTGGGTTCAACCGCAACTGGTACTTTCTCATAACCTGAAAGCATTCCCGGAGGTCCCGAGTGTGGTCGGATCGGTCCCGACTCTTAACCAACATATCATCAATATAAGCTTCCATCGTTCGGCCTAGCAAATCGGCAAAGAGCATATTGACCATTCTCTGATAGGTGGCTCCTGCGTTGCGGAGACCGAACGGCATCACCCGGTAACAATACAGCCCGTCCGGGGTCACGAAGGCTGTCTTGCTCTCATCTTCATGGTGCATCATGATTTGATGATAACCCTTGAATGCATCCATGAAGCTCATCAATTCGGCCCCGGCCGTCTCATCGACCATCTGGTGGATACTGGGTAGAGGATACAGGTCGAGCGGGCAGGCCTTATTGAGGTCGGTAAAATCTATGCACATCCTCCACGCTGGGGGCTTCGGAACAATAACTATATTAGCCACCCACTCGGGATAAATCACGGGTCGGATGTGCTCGATCGCCGCCATCTTCTTGACTTCCTCTCTAACAAACTCGCGGCGATCGGAAGAAAGGTGCCGGGTTTTTTGCACCACCGGCTTCGCTGCGGGATCGACGGCTAACTTGTGACAAATAACCGACCGATCGATCCCGGGCATGTCCTCGGGCCCCCAAGCGAAGATATCGGCATACTCCCGAAGTATGGCTAAAATTTTTGCTCGGAGATCGGGGGTGAGGGCCCGACCAATCTTGATCTTCCTATCCGGTCGGTCCTCGGATAGGGGAACTTCTTCTATCTCCTCGGAAGGCTCTGGTTGTTCCTTCCGATCTTTAGCCTCTTCTTTGGCTATGGTGTTCACCCGGGAAGACGAACCGGAATCGCGTCTGTTAACCGCTCGGGTGTAACACTTCCTGGCGGATTGGACATCGCCACGGACCACGCCGACCCCCTTGGGGGTGGGGAATTTCATGCATAGGTGAGGCATTGAAATTATCCCACCGATCTTCATAATGGCGGGTCGGCCCAAAATAACGATGTGGACGCAGTGGAGGTTGACCACAACAAATTCTAACTCCGTCTTGATCGACTTCGGGGCTGTGCCGATCTCGACCGGGAGCGTTATCTTTCCCTCGGGGTAAATAAGAGCCCCGGTAAAGCCAGACAGTGGTACACCGACCGGAGTCAGCTCCTTCCTGTCTAATCCAAGCTTTTCAAACACGTCCAAATAAAGGACGTTCACACTGCTGCCAGTGTCGACCATAACCCTCTGGACGTCCGTCCCTTTCACATCAATTGTGACCACGAGCGCCTCCATGCCGTGGTCACCGCTGCTGAGTTGATCTTCCAAGGTGAAGGTTATGGGCTCCATCTTTTGCCTCTTCCCGGTCTCCCGGGAGTCCACTATAGCGACCGGGCAATTACTTCGCGGTCGGGAAGCGTCTTCCAATCCACCAAAAATAACGTGGATGGTCGGCTTTCATGCTGGTCGGCTGCTAGATGGAGGGTCAGGGTCCCGTCGGTCATCGCGACGATCATCCCTTCGATCGTCTCTTCGGTCCTGACCCGACCGGTCGGAGCGGTGATGAGAGCGCCGCTGTTCTCTCCGATCGGTATTCCTTTTGGGGTCCTCTCTCCTCCCCACACATTTGTCCAACTTCCCTAGATTGAGCAAATCTTCCAACAGTTGGAGCAAATGGGTACACTCTTCAGTGTCATGCCCAGCACATCGATGGTAAGCGCAATGCTTACTCTTGTCATGACCATCTCGATCGGGATGGGGAAGCTTAATGAGGTTGCAAGACTGAGCATACTGCATGGCCTCCGCTGCGGATCGGTTCAAGGCCGTAAACTCACCAGTCCTGGTGCGGGATCGGGGGTGGTCATCACCCGATCGGTGTTCCGCCCGGCCGGCCGGTTTACGAGATGAAGATCCGACCTCCTGCGAGCGCTTTACGGCGTTCGCCTCGCCAGCATTGGCATAATCTGTGACCCTTCGAAGGGCCTCCTCATACGTGGCCGGGGGGTGTAAAATGAAGTCCTGATATAAATACCCCGCCCGGAGAGAGATGTGTAACATGTGGGTGGCGGTGACGTCGTCCATGGGCTCTACCTCCCCGACCGCCGCCTTCCATTTGGTGAGGAAGTCGGTCAAGCTCTCGCCTTCAAGTTGCTTGGCCTTCTCCAGATACATATAAGGCTTCCTCACCACTTTGGAGGTGATGAACTTCCTCACAAACTTGACCGCCAGGGTGTCAAACCTGTCGATCGAACCCGGCTGCAAAGTTCGGAACCACTCCGCCGCTCGACCGGTAAGCGTGGAATAGAAAGCCCTGCACATCACGGCGTCCGACACACCCTTCAGCGTCATATTGCTGTAGAAATCGTTGACGGGAGCCTCAGGGTCTGACCGGCCATCATAACTCTTCTCTCCAGAGACTTTTAAATCGAGCGGGTAAGGCTGAGCCATTACCGCCGCTGTGAAAGGCGTCTGGTGCAGGGTCGGTTGTCCAACCGGGGTTGCTGCAGGGTGCGCGCTTCTGAATTGCGCAAATTCTGCCTGGAGGTTATAGAGTAATCCTCGGGTCTCGTTGAGCTCAGCGGCTTGGGCTGTATCCCGAGCGCGTCGTCGTCGGTGAGATCTCGACCCGCCATACCCAGATGAGGCCTCCTGGCTAGCCTCCTGCATCTGTACGTCTTCTTGCCCGCGGTTCGGGTCTTGGGGTCCCAAACGCTGGCGCATCTCCGGTCGAAGACGACCAAAAGCTACCGCTCGGGCAGTTTCTTCGGGGTCCTCCGCTTGGACGGGAACCTCGACCGCTTGCTGGGCCTGCCCTGGTGCCTCCATCGCATCAGCACCCCCCGACCCCAACCGCGAATGAGCCGAGCATCGGGCCCGGGAAGCGGACTGACGCTGCGGCTCTACATGTGCGGTCGGTTGTACTGGAGGGGCGGCGGCTGGAGCCGTGTAAGCAGGCGTATATGGTGGATAACCAACCGGGGGAGTGTAGTACATCGGTTGGCTAGGCCAATACCCGTGCGGCGGAGGTGGGACTAGGTATGGATATTGGCCGGGATACATCATCGACTGCTGCTGATATGGCTGACCGGGTGTTGGGTATCCCGGTTGTATGTAGTTCACCGGTTGTTGGGCAACCGGGGTATGTGTTAGACGGGTGCGGTGGTGAGAGATTGAGATTCAATTCTACCGTCTGACCTTGCTGTTGGGTGGCGTGGTGCCCAGATGAGCTCGCTGCGTCCGCCTGGTCGTCGGCGAAGTTGTTTTGAGCCCACGGATACATGATTGGAACGGGAGCGGGTGCTCGTCAAGACGTTGCTTTCTCGCACGGATCCCCACGGACGGCGCCAAAATGATACTGCTAATTCTACGTAAGCAATATAAAATAAACCCGAGACCAATTAAAGCAAGTAAAAGACTTTATTGATCACGGTAAAGGCCCTAAGTACAATCTACTTGGTTGCTCTGAGTACCGACTGACTGCGGTCGGGATTCTCTAGTAACAACCTATCGATCGTCCAAAAGTCCTCTACACTGTAGCTACTGTGGGTATTTATAGCCGCTGCGCCTGGAGACATGACTCCGGTCGTTCGGCATGTTCTCCACGTAACCACCACGTGTCAACCTCCCAGGTGCCCTGCCTATCGTCGTAGAGAGCCGCCACGTGTCCTGTACCAGCTCTCCTGCCAAAGGGCTACTGCTCGGTGGTCGACACCATCACTCGGGCAACTCCCGGTCGGACCCAGATCGGGTTCTTCGTCTGGAAGCCCGACCTGTCACCTGTAAAGACAAAGAAGAAAAGAACAAAGACAACTCGGTCGGGGTGGAGCTTATGTCGGTCGGGATATTTCCTACCAAAGGGTAAATATGTCTATTTAACATTTTAGGGGAGAAAAGAACCACTTAAATAATTTAGGGAGGAAAAGTACTATAAGTATATAACTCAGGGGAAAAAGTGTCATTTTTCCAAAAAAGAAAAAAGGAACCCATGACACGTCAGACGTGCATCACTTAAAGTTAGAGCATCCACATCCGTGGATATTATGGAGATAATGTCAGATGAATTATCTTGGGTGGGGATAATAACAAATGTGGGGTGGGGTTATTTATCAAAATATTTGTTCTGCAAAATTGGGGAGAATGCAGAAAAAGAAGAAAAGGAAAGAGAAGAAAAAGGAGGCTGCTGTGCGCGTTTCGCGCACAGCAGCCTCCTACACGGGCGCGTGAGGCGCGTCGAACGGCGCGCCTGACCCTTTACTTTTTTTTTTTTAAATTTTTGATTTTGATTTTCTTATTTTTTTTCCTCCCCTTCCCACATTCTCTCTCCTAATCACTCTTACATTATCTCCCAATTCTCCCCAACCATTGTGGATGCTCTTAGTAGGCTCCAATTTGCGTAGTTCAACAAACCTGACAGTAAGTTGGGTTGCAGCGGTGCACGCGCCAACCGAAAGCGTGGAGGACGCGCCAAAAAAGAAAAGAAAAGTGAGATTCATAACCGTGCCACGTGTATCATCGAGAAGTTATTCCTTGAGAAAGTGACGTTTCCTGCCATGTAGGCACCGGCCTTGCAGAACCGTCAGATCAAGATTTCATCCGACGGCTGAGATGGGGTTTTAGCTAGCGAGAGAAATCCTCGCCGTCTACGGCGGCCCCGCAGTAGAAAAAGCAAGTTTAAACATATTAGATATCGGAGACGTGTACCGAAAAAGATTAGATGTCAGAGACACCGAAAAGAGAGAGAGAGAGAAGATTTGCAGTGAAGTTTTTTTCTGATTTTACTCAGCTGAGAATCGGAGAAATCGACCGGCGGTGTTGAGTTTCTCGCCGGAGTTTGTTGTTTATTTCTTTCGTTTGATGAAAGAGAGTCGACGGCGGCCATGGAGAGAAATATAGGTGGTCGGAGAACAAGTGCGGAGAACTTCAACGTAATCTCGAAACTACGACAGAGAATTTCCAGTGTCAGAAATGCACCTGGTTCGACTAGTTGCAAATTTTTTTATTATTTTTTTTAAATTGTAATTTTAGGATTCGGATAAAGTTTGCGTTGTTTACTTTTGCAGGGGAAGATAAGGAAATGGATGAAAGAGTGAGGTTACGAGATCGAGAACAAATATGCAAGAAGGAGGGGGATCGATTGTACGGCAAGCGGAAGAGAACGAGTTGCACCGGGAGCGATGGGAGCTCGGAGAACAACGGAGAAGAGGAAGAACGTAAAGTTCATCGGAGTCCGAATCCTCCTCCAAAGCAAACGTTGCCGTCATCTTCTATGTCGATTCGTCAACGGAGGACTGTTGCTCCGGCCAGAGTAGCAGCAAAGTCGTCGCCGGCTAATGAGATTATCGGCCTTCATATCCCAAAAAAGGCTCGCTCAGGTGGGAAATACTGGATTAACCAGAGAACACTGATATATTCTTTTAATATCACAAATGGCCGTTGGAAATTCATCGTTTTCTTCTCTAACAAATTCAGTGAAACGGACATATGCGTATTGTAATTCGGGAACGGGTCAATTTGGTGAGGAGAGAAACAATCGGAGACTTTCGCCCTTGTCGATGAGTCGCTGTGTGGATGGCGGGTTGCCTTCATCTTCGAGCATTTCTTCCAAGGCAAAGGTCGGTAGCTGTCTCTTTATGGTTTATGGTATATAGCTGTCTCAACATGAATTCAATGAATTACTGATTTTTCCATTTTAATTTTCAGAAACTACTTGGCCCCAAGACTCGGCATCAAATGATACTTCCCAATTCCTCTTCGTTAATTCAAGACGAATTAGAGGTTGCCGAGGCTCTGTTCGACCTGATGAAGCAATCTCGTTCTCCGTCTCAGTCTCAATCTCTGTCGCCGTCGCAGGGCTCTATGAAACGAAGCGATTACTCGAGTGAAAAGATCTGCTCAAGTAGCTCAATACCCTCCCAGACTTCAGATTCACCTCAAGAAGTAGGTCAGTATGAAATATCATTTGTTTGTTTTGCAGAATTTACGGCATTTCAGTTACTTTCTTTGTATTTCCAATCACAGTTTCTGATGCGTTTGGCAATGTGATTTTTATCTTAGTAATGTTTTCGTTCTGATTTCTGCCCTTATTGATGTGAACCCAGGCTCGAATAAGAAAGATGGTTCAATGGCTGAAATGAACACACAGGAGCAGTTGATCACAATGGAAGCTGAGAGGATAGTGGGTGACTCGCGGGAATCAAAGGACGAAGAAACTAGTAAGAAGGAGAATGATTCAATTGATCTAACCAAGGAGTTACTGGCTGGAGGAAGGGCTGAGACAGAGGAATTGGTGTCTGCAAAAGTGGAGGAATCTCAATCATGTGCTAAAATATGTGTTGATAATCTTTCAGATTCGGCAAAAGTGTGAGCATCTTGGAATTTTCTTTTGCTGTGTCCTTACTTTTCTTTGGTGCCATCTTTTTAGATATGTAATTCTAATCTTTTTGTTTCAGTGATACAACTTTCATGGTAGTTGACACAAACCAAAAAACCAAGTCTGAGATTGTTCTAATGGTAGGTAGTGACCAGCAAAAGTGGTTCTGTATTTTGGTAATTGTTGTTTCAAGTTTATATTGTTGCCCTGGTAGGGGAGGTGTAGCCGTGTAGGAGCTACTGCTTAATCTTTGAAGAAAAGCACTTTTTTTTCTTTTTTTTTTTTTTTTTCATTTCAGTTTAACTGAGATCTCATGTTGTTCTTGTACAGGAAGGTGTAGTTATGCAAGAGGATGAACAGAAGGTGGTTAGAACTGAAAGGGGGGAGCAGAAACTTGGCAAAATATTTCTAAAAGAGGAATTATGTAAAGAGCACCAAGTGCAAAAGGAGCAAAATCAATGTCGAAATGCTATTCATAAGGAGAACAAAATTGGTAATTTAGCAGTTCATGTCGTTCTCTGAGTAGAATAGTATTGTTTCTCCCTCCATTATGAAGTCAAGCAAATGGTCTGAAATTTTTGTTATATGCGCAGATCAACCAAGCTTATTCGCGTTGCCAGTTGCTATGGTGGGCAGGCCTGGTGTATTTCCTTACCCAGGGTATGAGCTCCTTACTCAAGAATCCTCATTTCCCCTTAATAACTGATTTTGGCCCATTCCATAACGGTGTCATTTTGTCTGCAGATACATGCCTGCTTTGCAGACAGTTTTGCCAATTGATCCTTCTAGATCTACCAGGTCTTCAAATGCAGTGAAGGTTATCTCTTGTTTCCATCTCACTTCTCATCTATTCAGTCTGTCTCATATTGTTGTTGTCTTTTTTTAGTCAAATCTTAGTTTCTTGAGTTAACAATATTTCTGGACATGTGACTGAACGAACAGTATGTAAAAATATGCAGTCTCCCCCATTTCTACTCCCACCAACTCGGCCAAAGAAATGTGTAACCCATCAATATATTGCTTTGAATATTAAACATCACCAGCACCTTGTTAAGAACTCCAAGTGGTGTGCACCAGCCGGTCCTGATAAAAGCGGGGCAAAGCTGCAAAATCATAGTCCCGTGCCATCATCACATCCCTTGCTACTAGGAGACGCTTGTCGAGGGCAGAGGTTGAACACTATACCAATTCATGGAGGAAAAGATCAAACCTCAGGAATTACCAACATTGGGGATTCATCAAAGGATAAACAACTTATGCTTCAACATCCTCTACTGCTACTCTCTGGTAGTAATTCACTGGTATGTCAATATTGGATTCTCAAGGTAATTTGTTAAATGGGTTTCAAAATATAAAAATTGAAGTATTTATCTGCTGTATTTATTCTGAACAGCATGGCCCAGACTTGATGTTCCCTCTTGGACAGCATCAAACAATGGTAGGGTCATCTGTTAATCAGTCAGGACCTCCCAAACCAGCTAAAGCAATGGGAAAAACTTCTTTACAGTGTAACTCAGCTGTGAGAGGGGAAACTGCATTTAACTCTTCGTCAATGCCAGCTGATGCTACAACAATAAGCTTTAAAGGTATAAATTTACATGCAAATAAAGCTCCTCCTCAGATGATGGCAATGGTACAAAACAACGGCTATCCATTTTCTATGATCTCAAATAATGTTGAAATGCTTTCACCATTTCTGGCCCCCGCTATCCCAAATGTTCCTGGTCCTGGTCCTGGCTATTCACCAACTTTCCAGACTTTCAAAGCTCATCAACAACCAGTTTCCCACAATACTAGCACATCGACTGGTTCATTATCTCATACACAACCACCCAGTCATCAACAAAAAGACCCTCAATCCAGCAGAAATAGTTATCTTATGTCAGCTACCACACACTCACAGCAACCACCACCCCATCCTCCTAAAAAGATGGGGGCAGATATGAGTACCCAAACTAGTGCATTGATATCTAAGCACACATTTCACAGACAAAAACCTTATAATGGTCAGCATTTGTCAAACCCTGTCCAACCAATAAATTTTGCTTTGATGCCTCCTGGGATATTGGGTACTGGTGGCAAAATCATATCTCAGCAGCAGCAGCAGGGTCTTAAAGTCGGTGAAGAGTTCATCCCTCAAACATTTGCTGGGTCAGTTGGTTCAACAACCTCTGCTACTCCCGCACTTAACTTATCTTCTGTTGCACAGAAGCCTTCAATCCTCCATGCTCTCCCTGATATGTCCCAGCTATCAGTTTTCATCTGCCATCCAAATGGCACTGCTTAACAAGTTTCAAAATTCTGGAGGAAAGAATGTGGCCAGCCACTCTGACCAACATCAGCAATAGTAAAAAAGGTATCTTGAGCACTCCCCTACTTTCTAAATCAATATCTGCACTGTAACAGGAAGACCTATTGCGTTTTTTATAGTTAAACCCTTAGTGTTGTGTTTATTCCAATGCCTTTTTCAGGAACCCAATCTCCATCCTGTTATGCATGCTATGATGCCCAGAAAGTGGCACAGTTTAAGCTACCTACCTACGAGGTGCAGCTCAAGTTAACGTTCCATTTCCCAACAAGAAACCTCATTTCCTCTCCAGTAGCCAGCCAACAAAGATGGAGACCCTTGTGGGAGTAATGCACTGAAAACTCTGTTGATAAAGCATGGAAATTCGATCTTCAAGCTTAGCTAGCTTCCCCCTCCATTGTTGTTCTTCTGGAAGTTTACCAGGGTGGGTTCAGGGTTCTACTGCAATGCAAGGAATGGTAAATGAAGCAGGCAGGCAGGCAGCTTCGATAGTGACAAAGGATGATAGGATGGTGGGGAGGTGAGAGGCCATTGGCGCAAGTAGTGTTAAAATGAAGGTTAGTCTATGGAGGAGGCAATGGGATGTGTGTATATCTATACATATTTGTTACTCCTCTGTTGTATATATCATAGTAGTAGTCTAGAAGTCCCTTCCTGTTTTTCCAAACCCTGGTTCTAATCAATGGAACAAAACCAGACAATCAGACAGTTCCATATTGTCATCATCCACTCTAAAAAACAACTTAATAATGTAATTTACACATAATAATTACAGCAATGGCAAAATCTGTTGGTAGCATTGCAAAGAAGAACGATATGATCGACTTAGTCATACGCCAATTCATTCGTTCACATCAGGGGAACGATGGACTTATTCTCTTCGTGATAACGCCTTCCTAACTAAGAACATCCTCAATAGGTATAGATTTTGAGGAGTTTTTGCGGATGTGATTAGGAAAGAGAGATAAAAGGAAAGGAAAAGAAATATGCATGGTGCGCCCTACTGGGCGTCTTAGTCCATATTAATGTGCCCAACGTCTTAGTCCATGTTAATGTGCCCAACAACACTTCTTTGTTTTGGTGGGGCTCACGGTAGAGACCAAAAATCAGTGCCTCGAGGAAGCTCAACAATTTCTTTCTCCTTATTTTCTCTCTTCCACTTCATTGAAATCTCCTCAAAATTTGAACAAAAACAACTATTGTGGTTGCTATAAATAGGTTAGTGTATAAGTGTATAACTAATTAGGATGAGAAGTACAGAGAACGAATATATAAATACTAAATAGAGTCCTAATCTAATAAGGATAATATAGTCCTAGTCTAATATGAATAATATAGTCTAATATGGATAATATAGTCCTAATCTAATATGAATAATATAGTCCTAGTCTAGTATGGTAGAAATTGAGAGTTGGGGGCTAAATATAGAATACCAACAAACCTATGGACTAAAACGAAATTACTAATATAAACTTTTAATCGGGTATTCGGGTGGGCAAGATATTCAACCCGCCAGCGCCTACCCGCTCAAAATCATTTTATCGAATCCCTCATCCACTACACTACAGTATCTTCTCTGATCTTTTGTCTGAGTTTCGATTGAAGTTTGGGCTTTTCGTCGGCACCGGAGAGAGAAACCCTAATCATGGATATTCTCAAACAGGAGCTGGAAAAGAGGCGGAACAGCCTAAGAGAAGACGTCGGAGGCAAGCGGGTCTTCAAACGCTCCGAGATCGAGCAGAAACGCCTTCAGCGGCTTCACGAGGAGGAGAAACGCGAAGCCGAAGCCAAAGCGCTCCGTAAGAAGCAATCGGAACAGAAAAACAACTCCGGCGCCGACTCCTCTTCCAATCCTAACTCCAACTCCGATAATCTCAGCAAATCCAACGCCGAATTCAACGCCTCGTCTTCCAAACCCCAAACCCTAACGGACGAACAGAAGATCGACTCGCTCAATCTTTCGAGGCAGGAAGTTATTCGCCGACTCCGCTTCCTTAAACAGCCTGTCACTCTTTTCGGCGAAGACGATGAGGCGAGGCTTGATAGATTGAAGTATGTGTTGAAAGCGGGGCTTTTTGAAGTCGACGATAGCGATATGACGGAGGGGCAAACGAATGATTTCCTGCGTGATATTGTGGAGTTGAAGAAACGACAGAAGTCGGGGATTTTGAGTGAAAGGAAACGGAAGGCCAGGGAGGATGCTGAGGATAAAGAGGGAGGAGGCGGTGATGATGATTTGAGTGGAGACGGGGGCTCGTCAGGAGTGGATTACGATAAGGATTTGAAGAGGATGAAGACGAATTTTGAGGAGCTTTGTGATGAGGATAAGATTCTGGTATTCTTTAAGAGGTTACTGAATGAGTGGAACCAAGAGCTTGATGAGATGACCGAGACTGAAAAGAGGACGGCCAAGGGGAAATCTATGGTTGCCACATTCAAGCAGTGTGCAAGGTACTTGAATCCTCTATTCAAGTTCTGCAGGAAGAAGGTTAGTATACTATTTTCTTGAATACTTGCTTAACATGCCTCTATTGTTTTTTTATTTTATTTATTTTATTTTTTTATTTTATTTTATTTATTATTATTTTTTTTTAATGATTTTGTACATCAGTTTTAAGCATGCATGACCATCAAAGTTTAGAGCTTTTGTATGATTCTGTAGACACATGACTAGAAATGATTAGACTTTTCTGTTGGTGGTGTAATGTTGTCAAATTAACAGAGGCATTTGTTTGTTGAAATGGAGATTTCATGTGTATTATCAAGTGTTTAATGTGAATTAGGGAGATTTGTTATGATAGTGTTATGCAGGGCTGCATATTCCTGTAAGTTGGCATTAAATTTTTTTGAATAAGTAGTCTGTAAGATCATCTCATGACTTTTTATAGGTTCATATATAAGTATTACGGAGTACATTTTAACTTAAAAGTATTACACATCTGTCTCACACAAGGCCTACTCAATCTTTTTAGTATGTTCTATGTATGCTATGGGTGGGAGTGGAATTCTGTTCAATTGTTTCTTTCAATCTTGACCAATAATCAAAGCATTGCCTTGCCATAATTTGTATATTTGTTGAAGGGCTATAATCTTTTAAACGGTAGCCAAAAATGTAATTCAGCTAGTGAAGTTGCTTTTTTTGTGTGTGTGTGTGGTGATATTGGTGTCTTTTACTCTGTATTGAGGAAGAAATTATTGTATTGATATAGCCTCGACTGTCCTCGTATGTTGCACCTGATCTTTATGCTCTCACTTTTTCCCTTAACTGTCCTCACCTTCAAAGCTTTTATGATTGACCTGCATTTTCCTTCGTCGTCGTGTTACATATTCTGCTTCACGGACAGATGGATGGCTTTCACTTTTCATTCATCGTTCATCTTTGTAGTTGTTGAATTTATGGGGATTGAGCTCAAATTTATGCTGTTAGACTACTACTTTCTTGCAAAGTTATACAGAGAATTATTGCTACTGCACAGTGTTGCTTATGTTGATCTTGCTATCTGTGTTGTATAGGTACTGCCTGATGATATTCGGCAAGCGTTACTTTTGATGGTTCAGTGCTGCATAGAGCGAGATTATCTAGCCGCCATGGATCACTACATCAAACTCGCCATTGGTAATGCCCCTTGGCCTATTGGTGTTACTATGGTTGGTATCCACGAACGTTCAGCCCGTGAGAAGATCTACACCAACAGCGTTGCACACATCATGAATGACGAGACTACCCGGAAGTATTTGCAGTCAGTCAAGCGATTGATGACATTCTGTCAACGCCGCTACCCCACTGCCCCATCGAAGGCCGTGGAGTTCAACAGCCTCGCCAATGGCAGCGATTTGCAGTCACTTCTTGCAGAAGAAAAGTCTTCAGGGGGATCTCAATCCTCGGAGGAAAAGCTTCGCATATTGCCTGCCTAAAGGATACACATCATCTTCTCTACAACGTAGCAGTCATTTTGTTGTATACTACTAAACAACTACTGAACATTCTGCTTTGTCTGTAATTAACGTTGGTTTAATCCTGAATTGTTCTCTCCTTTACTAAAATTAGATGACCAGAAGTTAAATGACCAGAATCCTTCGTTGTCTTTACACATTTATGATTCTCTGTTGATAAACACTCATTGATGCTGTTTGGTTAACATTCACATGACTTGCTTCGGGTGACAATGTGGGTGTTTGATTTTTCTTTGATTCTATGAACATTGAGAATTTGGAATTGTGTTAAGACTCTCCGAGTAGAGGTGTATAATTTGATGTTGAGTTTTGAAGTCAAGTTGGCTCAATTGGATATGGGATCGGGTTCATAGGGATATTAGTAGAAGTGAGTAGAAGTGTATAATTGACGTTGAGTTTTGAAGTCAAGTTGGCTCAATTGGATATGAGATCGGGTTCATAGGGATATTAGTAGAAGTGAATATAAAACATGGGTATATGTTTTATGTTTATGTTTTATGTTATGCGTTTCTGCGTTTTAGTTTGGTATTTTAAATGTATAGATTTTTTAGTGTAACACAACATATTGTGTGTCATATTTTATGAATTTATGTTGTTATGAGTTTCTGTGTAATATATCTGTACCTTACATGTATGAATTCAGTAACATATTATGTGTCTCTACAAATTTACGTTGTTGTGAGTTTCTGTGTAATATATAATGTGTATATGTTTATTGTGAGAAAGACGTTGTTTTGATCTAGGATGCACACAATGTTATGTGTAACCTGGTCCACGCTATAAATTGCCTCCCTAATCCCTTCTCGTCTTCTCGTCTTCTCCGATCTCCACTCGACGTCGCCAAACACCAACCCTCAAGCCCTCCGCCCTCGCTCAGTCGCTCCTCAGTCCTCACATCCTCAAACGGTCAAACCTCACTTCAGCCCTCACTTCAGCGACGACGGTACGGAACTCAGGCACTCAGCGGTTGCAACTCACCTCAGCCCTCTGCCCTAACTCCTCGGCTCAAGGTAAACTTTTTACATATTAAAATTAAAATTGTGTTTGAAAATTTTAAATTTTCTTTAATTGCTCATCATTATTTTATGTAAATTTTTTAGAAAGAACCAAAGGAGTTACTGTGTTTGTATCATTGTGTTTGAGAAATTAATTATGGAGTATGCAAATTTTGGAAATTATGGAGTCTGTAATTATGAGAAAATTGTATGTTTTAAGTGTTTAACCAGTACAATTGTATAAACAATTTTGGGCACTGGACAGTGGAAACCAGTGATATTTGTATGTTTAAGTGTTTAACGGAAAGATATGCTGTCTGGTGGCAAATATATAAATACATACTTATAGTTGGGCAATTGCTGTCTTAAGGTGTTCTATCAGGGGATGAAGAATGTTTGTTTTACAAACTAATGATGCTTAAAATTTCTTCTACATCATTTTGCCTTCTTTACTACAACTACTGGAGTCCTGTATCATAGTTCAGAGATCTGGCTTTTGTCCACCCAATTTCAGCTTATTTTGAGAGTCTGGGTTTAATTTTAACTTTGTGGATAATGGATAGGTTTTTGGCTCCATAATTTTATGTAATCAAGGCTAGTTGTAGCATTACTAGCTTTAGTCCATTGCTTTCTTGTGCAATATTATTATTCATAGTTTTCTGTAATGCAACCAAACACCGGAAATGAAAATGAAAATGTGAACACACCCTAACTGTGATGTAACAAAAATTTAATTGCAGGTAGGTCTAATTTCCTGACTATATAAAGCCGTAAAACGACGGTGGTGGGACAGTGAATGCAATGGCAAGCGGCAATAGCAACCAGGAGAAGCCACCGTACCGTCCATATCGACAGAAGAAAGTTCTTACGGCGCATACACGCGCCGTCTCCTGTGTGAAGTTCTGCAACAATGGCAAGCACTTCGCCTCGGCTTCCTTGGACAAAACGCTGATCGTTTGGTCAACCGAAACCCTAAGTAAGGTCTCCCAACTCGACGGCCACTCCGACGGAGTTTCCGACCTGGCCTGGTCATCTGATTCCACCTACATCTGCTCCGCCTCCGACGACCGCACCCTCCGTATCTGGGTTGCGCGTGACGGCGAGTGCGTCAAGACCCTCCGTGGCCACACCAACTTTGTCTTCTGCGTTAATTTTAACCTCCAATCCAACCTCATCGTCTCCGGCTCCTTCGACGAGACTATTCGCGTCTGGGACGTGAAGACGGGCAAGTCCGTGCACGTGATCCGGGCCCACTCCATGCCCGTCACCTCAGTCCAGTTCAACAGGGATGGATCTCTCATCGTTTCCACCAGCCACGACGGCTCTTGTAAGATATGGGACGCCGCCTCCGGCGCCTGCTTGAAGACCCTTATCGATGATAAGGTCCCGGCCGTTTCCTTCGCCAAATTCTCCCCCAATGGCAAGTTCATACTCGTCGCCACTCTCGATAACACTCTTGTAAGTTATATCACTTTTTATACATTTTGATCGAATTAAACTTCTTTTTGGTATCTAATCACTCAGGAGAAGCTTCATAGATCACGAATTTTTACTTTTTGAGTGATGAGGAAACCCGATGCCAATATCCAACTCTACTGGGAAAATCCTGCCTTGTGATCCTAACTGACAAAAAGCTTTGTGACCCTAGCTTACAAAATACCACGAAGAGGTAACAAGCCTAGTTTCACCAACTGACCGGCTTAAACTAAGAATACCAATTGCGCGACCAACTTGGCTAGGGTTATCCACATCACTTTGATTATACTTGTAATGAAATCATTGAACTATCCGTTCAGTTGTGAGCTCAGGAGTGATTTTTCATCTTTATCTTTGCATATATCTGCTAAAATTATGCATTCTGATACCTTGGCCTTTCCCTTGATAATCTAATCTCATGAATGAATTGTAATATGAAAGTTTCTTGTTTGTGTTTTCTTGTTAAAGAGACTCTGGAACTACTCTCCTGGCAAAATATTGAAGGTATATGCAGGCCATAAGAACAGCGTGTATTGCATTACAGCAACATTTTCGGTTACAAATGGGAAGTATATCGTCTGTGGCTCTGAAGATCATTGCGTGTGGATATGGGATCTGCAAGAAAAGAATCCTCTCCAGCAGCTAGAGGGGCACACTGATACAGTCATCTCTGTCAGCTGTCACCCTGAGCGGAACATGATTGTCTCTGCAGGACTGCATAATGATAGAACCGTGAGGGTGTGGGTTCAAGATTAAACAATGTTCTTCAACTCTTCCTGGTTAGTTACTTCTAGTCTTGTTAATTAAGGCACAGATTTTTACTGCAGCTCAACTTTTCAATGCATAATACTCTTTGAATTCTGCTCCTGTGCTTGAAGCAATGAATGCTAGGGAAATACTGCAGTTACCAATATCTCGAACTAGTTTAGCCATTGTTAATCCTTCCAATAATTTTCTGGTTTCATAGCATGTTTCTATTCAGGTGATAAGAAATTATCTACTATTTTGCAGATATTGCCTCTGGGAACGTACCATAACAAAGAAATGTCATGATAATCTCTGGCTAAAGAAAGGTCTCCGCAACAATATATCCAGATTCGACTGTCGAAATGGCAGTCCTTGAATCTGACAAGCTCTCTCAGAGTTATGATCTGTTGTAGTGTTGATAAACTGTCGGGTTTTGGTCATCTGTTAGAGTTTAATTTTCTGTTGATTATTAGGAATCTTCAGAACTTTGTACAGGCAATGTTTGAAAAAAAAAAAAATCATACTTTCTGTCATTATGTATTTATATGTCTATTGATTAGTACTTGCAAAACTTGGTGACATTCTTTTTTCCCTAAACTTGGAAGAGTTGTTCTTAATAGGGCAAATCAACGCTCAACATGATTAATCTATCTCACAAAATACAGTTAGTTGTGTATAATAGGGTGAGTCTCGCTCGCTAAATGACAATCATTATTGTGTTGTGTGGAGCATGTATGAATTATATTTTGTATACTGTAAAATAATGTACATCCAGTACAAATATAATGTACATTGTATTCAGGAGATGTACATTATTTTTGTTCTGAGTGTACATTATATTGTATAATGTACATTCGGTACAAAAATAATGTATATTTAGTATATTAAAAATATACTTTTTGTTATGGTCCACACAATAATTTGCCCTAAACGAAGGCAATTTATATCCTACACCACAGTGCGTGTTGCACTGTGCGCCCGATGCAAAACGACGTCGTTTTAATTTTTTTTTTTATTTTTTTTTTGAAATTTCCCGCGCCAGTGTATGGCAGTTAATTTTTCTTTAAAAAAAAACCCCTATTCAAAAATATACATAATGTTATACTAGAATACACATAATTGTATACATGAATGTACATAATTATATAACAAAATATACATACTCTTTTTAAAAGGTAATACACATAATCTAACATAATACATAATAAACATAAACTTTTAACATGATACACATCAACTCTTAACATAATACACATAAATTTTTTGATTCGGATGTACATAATTGTATAAAAAGAATGTACATAATTGTATAAAAAATGTACATAACTGTATGAATAAATATACATAATTGTATGAACAAATATACATAATTGTGTGAACAAATATACATAATCACAGCAACTTCCTACCGCGCCTCCCAAAACGACGTCGTTTTGGGAGCACGCGGCGCACAGTGCTACGCGCGCCGTGGTATAGGGTATAATGATTGCTAAACGAAGCATGATCGAAGCATGACTAAATTACCGTTGATGAGGTGTGGACTCCAATGGGTTAGGGCCCAAACGGAGGAAATAAATAAATGAATGGGCTTGCCATGGTTGGCTCAAGAAAGGGAATCTGCTCCGGGGGTTTTGAGAAGACCTCGCAGAGAGCTTGGACGCGTATGGAGCTGTGTCCAGGGAGTCGACATCAACAAAGAGTCGGTCAGGCAAATGACTTTTGCCGCTTCAATGCCCGCCATTAAAGTGGGTCAATCTAGTTGTTGGGGGCGTCTAGTAACGGCGACCCAACGTCTCCCGGCCTTTATTGCGCGTTAATGCTTGTACTTAGCTAGGCCACCTATAAATTGGTCTCCCTCAAAGTGTAAAGACCAATTTTTTGAGGGAGATAATCCAGAAAGACACTCGAAAATAAGAGAATAGTCACACACTTTATAGCCACTTTCTTCTCTCAAAAATCATTTTTTATTTCTTCTTTTTGGTAAATCCACCAATCTAAGAGATTGTATTCAACCTCCGTGGGCCTAAAAACCCTAAAACCAACAACTGTCAAGATACATGTATAAATTACTCTATCTCGAGGAATACAATACTAGTATAGTATAATTGAACGAAAGAAACCCATTTGAACTAATCTCGTAAATTAGGCTTATGAGAGTTGTTTATTAAATGAAGTATGATCAAAACTTGACTAATCTATTTTGTTGAAATGTTATACAAAATGAATTTTACTCGAATAGTGATGGTTGATTTTCTTCGTCACTATTACTAATCCTAGTCACTTTTGAGTAATGTAACAGAAATTAATTGCAGGGAGGTTTAATTTCCTGGCAACATGAAGCCATAAAACGGCGGTGGCCGGACGGGGAATGCGATGGCAAGCGGCGGCAATAGCAACCAGGAGACGGCACCAATACCTTACCGTCCATATCGGCAGAAGAAAGTGCTTACGGCGCATACACGCGCCGTCTCCTGTGTGAAGTTCTCCAACAATGGCGAGCACTTCGCCTCCGCCTCCTTGGACAAAACGCTGATCGTCTGGTCAACCGAAACCCTAAGTAAAGTCTCCCAACTCGACGGCCACTCCGACGGAGTCTCCGACCTGGCCTGGTCGTCCGATTCCACCTACGTCTGCTCCGCCTCCGATGATCGCACCCTCCGCATTTGGGTTGCGCGCGACGGCGAGTGCGTCAAGACGCTCCGCGGCCACACCAACTTCGTCTTCTGCGTCAATTTTAACCCCCAGTCCAACCTCATCGTCTCCGGCTCCTTCGACGAGACTATTCGCGTCTGGGATGTGCAGACGGGCAAATCCGTGCACGTGATCCGGGCCCACTCCATGCCCGTCACCTCCGTCAATTTCAACAGGGACGGATCTCTCATTGTCTCCACCAGCCACGACGGCTCTTGTAAGATATGGGACGCAGCCTCCGGCACCTGCTTGAAGACCCTTATCGATGATAAACTCCCGGCCGTTTCCTTCGCCAAATTCTCCCCCAATGGCAAGTTCATACTCGTCGCCACTCTCGATAACAATCTTGTAAGTTATATCACTTCTTATACATTTTGATCTAATTAAACTTCGTTTTGGTATCTAATCACTCAGGAGAAGCTTCATAGATAACCATTTTTTACTTTTTGAGTGATGAGGAAATCCGAAGCCACTATACAACTCTACTGGTAAATCCCAGGTAGGCACTACGCGGTAGGTGGTAGAGTAGCTTCTGCGGGCACCTAAGCGCATGTGGGTGTATGTCATATTATATATATATATATATATATATATATATATATATATATATATACTAGTGATCAAATGAATCCATTTTGTTATATGAGTCCTTATACTCGCACAGTTCGCCAAATCTAAGCCATTGGTCTCAAGTATTCAATGGCTCAGATCTGTCACACGGACTCATATAATAGGGTGGATACATAGGAGCAGTATATATATATATAATGAAAAAAATTAACTTAGGCTGAATCGAACGAGTTGACTCGATCGAGTTTGCCGCCGAATCAAACGAGTTAACTCGACAACTCGGCCAAGTTAGGCGGCTGGCTACCTAGACGGCCTCCTAGGAGGTAATTCGCTAGGCGCCCCTAGGCCGATTTTTGTAACAGTGATAAATCCACAAAATACCACAAAGAGCCTTATGACCCTAGTTTACCAAGTCTACATCTGACAACTTAGTTAGGGTTGTCTACATCATTTTATTTTACTTTGATTGTACTTGTAATGAAATCATTGAACTATCAGTTCAGCTGTGAGCTCAGGAGTGATTTTCTCATCTTTATCTTTATATATATATATATATATATATATATATATCTGCTAAAATTGATACCTTGGCCTTTCCCTAGTTGATTCTCTAATCTCATGAATGAACTGTAATTTGAAAGTGTCTTGTTTCTGTTTTCTTGTTAAAGAGACTCTGGAACTACTCTACTGGCAAATCAATCAAATCATATGCAGGCCATAAGAACAGTGTGTATTGCATTGCAGCAACGTTGTCGGTTACCAGTGGGAAGTATATCGTCTGTGGCTCTGAAGATCATTGCGTGTGGCTATGGGATCTGCAAGGAATGAATCCACTCCAGCAGTTAGAAGGGCACACTGATACCGTCATCTCTGTCAGTTGTCACTCTAAAAAGAACATGATTGTCTCTGCAGGGCTGCATAATGATAGAACTGTGAGGGTGTGGGTTCAAGATTAAACAATGTTCTGCAACTCTTCCTGGTTAGTTACTTCTAGTCTACTTAATTAAGGCACAGATTTTTGCTGCAGCTCAAATTTTCAATGCATAATACTCTTTGAATTCTGGTTTCATAGCTTGTTTCATAACACGGCTTTAAATTGTGTCATGAACTCACTTGGACATTTGCATGCACCCCCGAAGACTAAACCTTGTGTGCATCTATATTATTTTGCATATAGTCCACTCAGGTGATAAGAAACTATGTACTATTTTGCAGGTTTTGCCTCTGGGAAATTACCATAACAAAGAAAGATCATAGTAATCTCTAGCTAAAGAAAGATCTCCACAACATTGGACTGTCAAAATGGCAGTCCTTTAAAGTTTCAAAACTCTCTCAGAATTACGATATCTGTAGTGTTGATACACTGTCTTCTTCTTCTTTTGTCAGACCACGAGGTGTCCTGAAAGCATATCTTAACTGTAGGAGGCACCTTTAAGCCCCTACCATACTTAGACTAATCCATGTTTGCACCGTGCTGGTCCAATTAAGGAGCAAAGTGCTGGCCAGATTGATTATGTTTTTAGCCATCTGTTAGAGTTTAATTTCCCGTCGATTAGTAGGATTGTTCAGAACTTTGTACAGCCAATGTTTGAAAGAAAAAAAAAAAATAAAAAAAAATCATACTTTCTGTCATTATGATATGTCATCTCTCCACTTTCCTATTGATTAGTACTTACAGAAGTTGATGACATTCTTTTTTCCCTTGTGCTGCCACAACTGGGAGGTCACTGACTCTTCTCCTCTCCATATGTATCTTCAAGGCCATTTGTTACTCTCTCTCGGCGCTCGGCGATCATCTCTGAATAAGCCTGAAGGCGAGACGGTTTCACAGAAGATTTACTCAAAACTCTTGTCATTTGTTAGGTCATAAAATGTAAAAAGAGAAGGGTATATTGTGTGTACCTTAGGGTAGGAGTAGAGGAAGATGTACCACCATGCAGATATTAAAGCCACAACCACTGCAGTGAGAGTAAGAGAGTGCAAAATGAGCCAGCTTGCTGCAATTGCTACTATACCAGTCAATGCTATTGTCCATGGCTGGCACCTATAATAACAAAACAGAATACATTCTTCACATTCATTATTTTACTAATATATGTCCATGCATCTTGCAATTGCTATTGTTTTAAACCTAATAAATTCTATCTTGTTTTTAATGAGCAAGTTAAAAAAGTTAAGGTTGAACAATATACTTATAGGGATTATCTTCTATCGAATTGTAATCTGTACTTGACCGGTATCGGGCCCCGTCCCTGTGTTGAGCCCGTTCTGATCATCGCCGACTTGATTGCTCGCCTACCGGACCTGAATCTAGACCGAGTACAGTTTGACCGACCGAGTAGAGAGCGTGATCAGTAGGCCCACTCCAATCACTTAAGGTCGGGACCGACCACCTTCATTTGGCGATGAAACACCCAAGAGAATCAAGAATTTTAGGACATGTGGATGAGTCAGCTACTTAGCTTGGGCCCCGGACTCGCCCTTTGCATGCGCTCCACGTGCCGTATATACCTTTGGATCGGTAGTTGTTTCCCGACATTCCTTATAAATATCGCATTAAATGCGGAGTGAGGGGACTATTGACAATTTTTATACACTAACCTTTAGCTCGGGAATCTCTAATCTACTATCAAGTCATTCGAACTCAATGACTTAAATCAACAAGTAGACTAGGGAAATGGACCGTAACTAAAATCGAACCGACCCTAGCGCCATATTGAGTAGTAGACCCCCGTATTTACTACTTCAAGTACTCTTGGAATGGTTGCTCGAATAGGGTCAATCAAGACTCAATAGGATTAATCTATCTCGAAAAATGCATATAACAATGTATAATGGGTTTGATCCAGAACGAGGCTCAACTGAATTAAATATATATCTTAATGTGAATATTAGTGTACTCTCATTTTATTCTCCCAACTTTTCCTCTCGAAATGTAAACACTCCATATTATTAGTGTAGTACGAAAAAATTGACTTGAAAGATAAATGGAGTGTAAAAATGAAGATACTTACCATGAGGGCTTGGTGTCCCAAACGGAGTCATATTCTAGGGAGAGATTGTCGAGATAGGCATCCATGTCCTTGACGGCGCCGTTTTCGTCGAAGAATGCCATCTCTCTTGGCTCATTTTGCTTGCTTCTGCAACGCCAACTGCCAATTGGTTTGCTGCGGGAGTGATTCGTAATTAAGGCAAGTGTTGGGGCGAAAGCAGAAATATTGGAGAATTGGTGCCCCTGAAAGCAAAGATTCGGCGGCGATGGAAGGAATGGCGGGAGAGGGAAGAAGAAAAGGTTGTGAGATACTCCGACTGCCGTCATCTTTGTTTTGTTGCAGAGAGAGCCCTAACTGTCTGGACTACTTTTCAAGCTCATCTGCTTCTCATGCCTGCTTTCACCCTTGCAATTGCTCTCTATTTACTTCTATGCCCTTCATTTTTTTTGGTTGTTTTTTTGTTTTTCAAGTGACGAGAGAAATTTACTGTTAATATATATTGAGTAAGTTTTGTTTATATAATAATTGGTAAATTATATATAAGAAGTAAATCGTATTAGGAAGATTATAAGTACTAAATGTATATATTGAGTAAATTTTATTTAGGTAAAAAAAAAATAGATATTGATGAGTTTTTAAATTTGGGGATTAAGATTTGTTAGACTATTTTTTGTTTGAAAAATATTACATGAACTCTCACTCTTACTTCTAATTTTTATTTTCTCTTACAAATTTTTAATTTAGACACTTTTTCTAAGTATCATTAGTTATCATAAAAATAAGGGAATAGAATTTAAGAATACAAGTTGTAGAATTTGCCTTTATGAGCTTATTCAAACCCAATAGATCTTATTTATTGTGTGATGAATATCTAGATTGAATTTCTTTGTAGTCATCGGTGTCCCTAAGATGGGAAAGGAAATGACATGAAATATCATATTATTAGTTTTAAAATCTTTAAATAATATTTACTTTGAAAGTAATCAATTAAGACCAATTGATCAACACCGACAAATAAATAATTTATAGAATTTAAAATTGATTTATACTCAGCTTTAAGAATAGTTTAATCATGCCTGCACGAGCTCAACTCAATAGTTCAATAGGTAGTATTTGAAAAAAGAAATCAAGATTTGGAATTATGCTCAACATTTAGTTATGTCTGCTGAACCATTGAATCATCACCATAATTTAGCTTTACATATTCACAAATGCTCTGTCGAGTTGGAGTGTAAAAGACCCTCAATGGGGATTCAACCTTTTCAGAGAGAATGGTTTAATCATAATATCTATACTATACATTTTAAACCTATATATGTGACCAATTAATCAACATGGACAAACAAATAATATACAAAATGATTATTGAGTACAAATATATAATATCCTCCACTTTCGCAATACCATCACCAACTCTAATACGGAGTACACTATAGTTTTTACCATGACTACTGACGAGATATAACTAAAAAATTTCACCATACAAATTACAAATGTTTTAATCTTTCCAAACATACAATAACAAAGAAAAGCCCTGTGCTTTACTACAAGATGGTTGAGAATGTTGAAACTCTGAGCAGTTGAACGCAAGTTGGCTGCTCCAAAGTTTGTCGGACGAGGAACAGCTTGAGCTTGTCTGGAACAAGAAAACACCATTTGCTGCAGCAGCGGTGTTCCCAAACAGCCAATCATGGACATCCCACAAAACTTGGACCAGATTCCCATCCACCAAGATGGTGTGATTGCCTCGGAACTTCCACCGGAGTTGCCTCACCTGCATCACGGGCTGCCCGTCGACCCGGATCACGAGGCACGGGTCGCTGCTGCTGCTCCCGTGACCGCTGTCGTCGCATTCTATCGAGATATCGTGCAGCGCCCCCTTGTCGGACAGCTGTGCCTTTGCGGCGTAAAGTTTCTTCCCGGAGATGTGCTCTCGCTTGGCGAGGAAAGTCGTGGTGCAGGCTGCCGGGATTGTGACTGCCGCGTCGATCTTCTTGTAGGCGAGCTTCTGCAGGTCCCCGGTGAGGAGGATCAGTTCTTGGTTTAGCGTTACGGCGAGGTAGAACCCCTCTAATGGCTCGGGGCTAGAACCGAACTTCGCGTTGGAGAAATCCCAGTAGACCTCGACCGCGCTTGAACCCAGTTCTGCATTCTTGGATCCTTTTCTCTTCGAGAACAGCGATGGCTTGATGTCCACCTTGCACAGGGATTCACCCGTTGGATTCTCAACCCCGATGAGCAAACCTTGACCCATCAGATTCTTCGTCCATGTAACAGTGATGAAGCGCGAAACACCTCGGAGTTCACAGAGATACACACACGTTACGAGATTCTGAGCAGCTCTGCCGCTACTACCTGATGATGATGAAGAATCTGCAACCTGAACACCGCTTTCACCAAAACAAGAAGGGAAGTCCCTCATCGATCAACTCTGATCAAAATTCCGATGAAGATAATGAATAAGAAGACGAGAAGAAAAGAATAAAAAGAGAAGAGTGGACAATCTTTGACAGATAAAAGTAACAAGGAAGCATGAAGCTAGTCAATTTAAATCAAATTTCAAGCACATGAAAAACGGAAGAGGATAAGCACGTATAGCTACTTCAGAGAAAGACAAAGTGTCTTCAGTCAATAAAACAGCAATTATGCATTTACTCCAACCGCCCATATTATTCAACGTTGCACACATCTTCCATCCTTTCACTCTCATATTTTAACCCCCCTCCCCCACAAAACCCGCTCCTCTATCATTCACAATGAAAATCCATAATCATTATTTCTGGTGGATTTTTACTGCTAATTTACTAGAAACGGATTATCTAGTGCTGGGCAAGTTCATCTGGGGACTAAGAAAACGACTTATGCACTGGGCAGTTGAGAAGATAGCCACCATTAAGGCATTAAGGACTAATACCTACCTTCAAGACAAATCATCGGCACCCCATTATCTCTTAAGTCTTCATACACTCTAAAAATTTGCGTTACTAAAGACTAAATAAAGTGTCCCTCACTTTAAATGTAAGACCCTCACATTTATTGTCGAATGGTCCATGGCAGGATGATCCATCAGTGGCATGCCAAGCTGTCAAGAAATAATAAATGGCCATAACTTATAACACACATCATATTACATCACTGGTAACTAAATCCCAAAGGTTTCCGTCTCATGAAAACTATAGCACTCAATCATAACGGGTTATGTCACCAGATCCAAAGATTAAAAGGAAAAAAAGGGCAGAATCACAGGAAAGATGACAAATTCAACAAAAGGAAATAATGGACTCTGGCATATAATGCTTCGAAATAGAGATAAGGCAGCAAAAGGGAATGATTGTCTTTCCTGTCTGGTGTACAACTAACAACCACTGTACTTTAACCTTCTAGTTTTATAGTTAGCAACACAGCCAAACTTTGGTTATGTCTTGCTCATTTAGTCAAAAGTTTTAAGTTCAGAAACATTTTTTCGGTTCTCACCTGCCATGTGCTTGAGATGACTACTCCTATTTTTGGCCTAAAGTTACAGGTACAAGACATGAGATGGTGTGCTTGTGTAGCACAACAAGCCATGTGATGCAAGCCTTCTTTTTAGCAGATGAAAGTTACTCATCAATGAGGCACAGCCGCACAGGCTCTAATTTCTATGGCTGATTGATTACTCTCAACGCATCTTCTACTAATATTTATATTCTTTTTTCGCCACGAGACAGTGAATTACACCGTAACAGAGTAATGAAAAAGTAAGAGTTCATACCAGTTAATAATAGAAAAGGACATTACATAGTATCTTCTGTTTGCTTGGCCTGAAAAAAATAGTAATTAAGTGAATTGGTGTCACAAGTCATAAAAAACAATTTTGGAATTAGAGAAGCAGTCAAGCAGCATCATTTGCAACATGGTAGAATGGTAATGGATGAACAAGAAAACCGTAAAAAGCCCAGAAGGCAATAGAGAAGAAGTTAACAAGAAAACATACCTGGGCACCAAACCACTCATCTAAGGTTCCACGTCAGTATCTTTGAAGCAAAATGTATACCTAAAACAAGCTTAGAAGCAATACCATATTCAGAAGTTCAATTAGAAACACTAAATCAAAGCATTGAAAGAGGAAATGGTATGTCAAATTTCTGCAATGAACTACATTCCTCTGAATCAAGAAGACCGATGACATGCTTTCATAGATTCGCTCAAGTGAATTGCATTTCTCCAATGCTGCAGAACATCATGCTGACTTAAAAGTCTTGTATAAACATGTATCAATCACTTTTTCGTTATAGTCAGATCAGATTGTAAATAATCAACAAAACTTGCACTTAGTAATGATAGTTGAACACCATCACAAGGCAAGTCTCTTAAACCACATTGTCACAAAACATAGAAGCCTCACCATCATGTCTATCTTCATCTCATATATTGAACAATTTTTATTTTATTTATTTCTTTATTATTAGATCAAATGATGGAGTTATTTGGACAAGGAATGCATTCAAGATGTCATCTCTTAACTCCAAATACTCCAAATATTTTCCTTCAATTGACTTACAAGGGTGTTTAACTGTAAATAAGCAATGCAGTGAAGTAAACTAAACAACTCATTTAATAACCAAAAGAGAATCCAAACCATCATAGTGCCATTACAAATTCAATCAAGGATATTAAAGTTCTGAAATGCAGAAATAGATGAAACATACAATACTGTTTGCTAAATTCATTAGGGAGAGAGGCTTGTAAGCTAATAAAATTCAGACTTGTGCATCGAATGAAACCAGTTTGCAGAGCCACAATATATTAGTAGCTATAGTAGAATGGTAATTATACACAAGCATCAAGCATCAGCCATGTCAGCGGATCTTCCAGCAAACGGATCATGAGATGGACCAACATCAGGGCCAATATGACGTTGCACCAGGCGCTGCAAATCAGCCATAACCTTCTGTTCACGCTTAGCTTTCTCCTCGTAATTAAACATAGCCAATGCCCGCTTATCCTCAGCACTGTAAACTTGGTTTTCCTTTCTGATACGAATAGCATTCATTCTCTGATGCCTACTACCACTCATCACATATCCAAGACTTTCAAACTTTGAAATCTCCTCAGCTGAAAGACCCACTTCACCTCTACGGGGAATACGTTTTCCTTGTTGAACATACTGGGCAATAGCATCACCTTCACCAGGCCTAAGTGCTCCACCATAGTTAACCGGCTGTCCATCAGTCCTGGGCATTGGCATAGGGCCAACCATGAGCTCATTATCCATAGGAGGCTTCATCCGTGACTCAATCAATTCTTTTAATTCAAGAACCTCGCTTGTAACTTCATCTCCCAATGTTTCTTCAGCCTTCTGTTTATTTTTTGCTTCAGCTCCAGAATCAGAGTTCTCATCTGGTTGAGAAGCCTCGCTATCAGATTCCTTCCTTTTATTGCTCCGCCTAGACCTTGAGGAAGAAGACCTCCTCTTCTTTGACTTGACATGATCTTCTGATGATTCACTGGCTTCAGAAGACTCTGTTTCACTCTTCATTCTACTTCTACTTTTCTTCTTCAGACTACTCCTTTGGTGCCGCCTTCTCTTCAATCTCCTCCTCCTCCTCCTAGCTTCAACTTCTGAATCATCACTTGAATCAGCGGATTCACTCTCACTTTCAGACACTGATCTTGATCTCTTGCTACTACGTCTAGAACCAGATTTCCTGCTCTTCTTAGACTTCCTGTATCGTGAACCATCCGATTCAGATTCAGAAACAGATTCACTCTCCGATGAATCATCACTCGACCTCTTAGAGTCCAACTTCGAGCTTTCCTTTTTCTCATTCTCTTTTTCCTTCAAATCGTTGTTCTGCCGTTGGTCAATAAAGTCTTGATCAACGTCCTCTGGCTCGTTCTCACCCCTAGGTGGGCTAGGGGTGCAATTCCAGATACAATTCCTAAGCATCTTCCTCAATTTCTGACGCTTCAGCCTCCTGTACTCTTCAAAACTCAATCCTTTCAGCTCCTCGTCCGATTCCGACTCGGCAGCTCGCCTGTTCCTGTAATCTCCATTGTCGTAGCCTTTCCTTCGATCTCCCCGACGTTCGAATTTGTAGGGTTCGTAATCAGGGCTTCGTCGATGGCTCGAACGGTAAGGAGAATAGGACCGCTGGTCACGACGGTTATTATGAGAGGAAGGCTCATACCTTGAGTAGTCTGGACTACGGCTACGACTCCTGCTGCCGCTGAGACTGCGACTCCGGCTTCGGCTAGGGTTACGGCTGCGACTCCGATAGCGACGGCGATACGAATCGGATTCCGGAGAGTAACGGCCACGGCCACGGCCACGGTCACGGTCGCGGCCGCTATCTCTGTGGCTCCGGCGCCGTTCTTCTGGGATTTCAATCGCAGAGGTTAGTCGACCCATTCCACGATAGGCTTTGACGAGGAAGGGGAAAATTGCTGTGGTTTTGGAGACGATAAAAATCACCGGAGATCAATTGTGCCCAAACGAATGGCGGTGGCCCATTATCATAATTAGGCTTAAGTTTTATGGCCTTTCAGTGAGTACCAATTCACCTTGTATTGTGAATCATGTTTTAAAATTACATTTAAATTATATACTCGTTATTAATATATTATTATGTATATTAAGTTAACTAACTACGTACATGTAAATTATATATTATAGACCCTAATCTAAAATAATATTCAAGTTATGTACCTATAATCAACATATTAAGTATATTTAATTAATTAATTATGTACATATAAATAAATTGCATTTACACAATATGGTAACCATAACATATACATAATTTATCAACTGGAGGTACATAATATGTTAAATGTAAGTACATAATACGTTAGTTGTAATAGGTACATAATACGTTAACTGTGGTGAGGTAAATACTTTCGGATACACGGATATGAGTAGAAAGTTATAGTATAGAAGCTCGGGTAAGTAAGTCCGAGGATCCTAAGCTACTAAGTACTCTCAAGAGAAAATGCTAAAAGTTTTATTTCATCGCATTTAATGTGGTATTTATAGGGGAGAGAGGAGAACGTCCGACATGTCTGCTGCGTGTTTCACATGCTTTAAGAAGATCAACGATTTTACAAATTAATACACGTGGATCGTGATTATTGACATGCTTATATTCTCTATAATGGGAAGTGCTTCAGGTTGGAACACCCAGTCCGAGCTTAAGGACAGGACCGAGCTCATATCTCTCTATAGGTCAAGTCGGGTCTCTTATCAAGTCAAAAATTGATCGTATCCGTGTATTAATACGGATCTAATCAGGTGCTCAGTACGTACAAATTGATAAACCTGAGGTATATTCACTATCAAACTGTATACACATAATCTGAAATCGTTATGGACTAGGGTCTACAATACAAAAGTGGAACTTGGTCTAAAGTATAACAATTGTGAATACCCATCTTTGGCCCAATGATTATCTTCCAAAAAAAATGAAGACTTTGGCCCAATGAAATACCTAATTAGTATATTTTGGCCCAGCCCAAAATATTACAATACCACCCTACACCTTAAACCCTAGCATTAAAACGTCCCTGCTTAAGTAGAGAACACCTCTTCGCGGCGGAGAAAGATCAGAACGGTGGGAAGCTGCTCGTAGACGGAAGAAAGGACGCCGGAGTAGTCAAAATACAAAGTATCATTCACTCTTCAGTTGTATATTCAACCCCTGTATGTGCTTGTACGTATATATCTACGTAAATGTGGACTGAATCTAAACTCTGTGCAGGAAGATGGCGGACAAGGCGGTGACCATCAGGACAAGGAAGTTCATGACCAATCGTCTTCTCGCAAGGAAGCAATTCGTAAGACCTTACTCGATTGAGCTATTGCTAGCATGTTTAGCTGTTTGCATATCTTTATGTTTTGTATTCCTGATTATCTTAGGTGATCGACGTTCTGCATCCTGGAAGGGCTAATGTTTCCAAGGTTAGATTTCGATTTCCCTCTAATAGTTAGATTTTTCTTTTGTTTTGATAGGAATTGAGTAGTTATAGAGCTTTTGCTCCATATTTTCCCTTTACTGATTATTATTGTTATTAAATCTTGCATTCGGGGTTAGATTCATTATCGAGTGTTTTAACTTTTAGAGTTGATTTGCGATTTCTTTGGTTGCTTTGAACTTTGTCTTTACATGTTGGGTCAATGGTGTTCTCATTGCTAACCTGCTGATTATGTAATGTAAGGCGGAATTGAAAGAGAAATTGTCAAGGATGTATGAGGTGAAAGATCCCAACTCCATCTTTGTGTTCAAGTTCAGAACTCACTTTGGAGGAGGTAAATCTACTGGGTTTGGTTTGATCTATGACTCTGTTGAGAGTGCAAAGAAGTTTGAGCCGAAGTATAGACTTATCAGAGTAAGTTTTTGGTTGTGTCCTTCTTCCCCCCTCTTTATTAGTTAGAAACTATGACTAGTGTCATAGTTTTCATGTTTCAGTGTGGCTTTCTCTGTGCCATCAATGCTTTTTCTGCAATTGATTTGTGTAATTCCTTTTTTGTTTCTTGAGTTAATGTCTGCATTTTGGCTTTGTATAATTGAACCTTTTTATTTATTTTTGTTACTAATCCATGCACCCTTATAATCAGGCTAAGTTTATAGCCCATTTTTCATTCGTTCAGCATTTTACCAAAGTCAATTCAGACAATCATTAACGGATTCGCTGTATTACTGTTTATACAAAACATTGTAGTGTACTGACTCGATAATCTTGCACATTTAAACAGAGTTACCCTTGGTAGTGAAATGGCATTATATGATGGTTCTATTGCATTCTGTGTGTAGTACTTTATTATTTGTGAGTCAATAACTT